AACAGGCTCCCCAGTGACGGGGATGCTGCCGGTCTCCGGATGAGCAAGGGTAGTGGAGTAGCAGGGGACTAGACTGTGCAATCCTTCCCACATCAAGGGTGCTCTGGGTTTGTTTTCCTGGCTCCTCCCCAGCAAGCCTTTATTTAGCAAAGGGAAGGTAGGAGTGAGAGAACTATCTTCTACCTATGAGGAGCTGCACATATATAATTTATACCCCACACCAACCCTTAGGAGGCCACTGGTATTCTCATTCTATGCAAGCAAACTGAGGCTCAGAGAAGTTGAGAGTTCCCCAAAGTCACACAGCAAGTACCAGAATCAGGATTCAGACCCAGGTCTTTCTGACTCCAGTGCCAATGGATAGCTCTTCCACTAAATTAGAACCCTCAAACTTTCGTCTATCTAAAAAGTCACCCATGGTCCTGTTAAAAATACAGGTTTCAGGGCCTCACTCTCAAATTTTTTTTTTCTTTTTCTTTTTTTTGCGGTACGCGGGCCTCTCACTGTTGTGGCCTCTCCCGTTGCGGAGCACAGGCTCCGGACGCGCAGGCTCAGCGGCCATGGCTCACGGGCCCAGCTGCTCCGCGGCATGTGGGATCTTCCCGGACCGGGGCACGAACCCGTGTCCCCTGCATCGGCAGGCGGACTCTCAACCACTGCGCCACCAGGGAAGCCCCACTCTCAAATTCTGATTCATTAGGTCTAGAAAGTAGTATCTCTTTTTTTTTTTTAATCACCCCGGGTGATTCTAAAGCTGAGCATCTGCAAAGTACACCCTGAGAACCGGAGAACTCCCATGCTGCCTTACTTGACACTTCACATGCAAAGTCGCAGTCCAGATGGAACTCCCGAACTTCAGCATGTGCTAGAATCACCTGGAGAACCTGTTAAAACACAGATTCCTAGCCACCTCCACCCCTACCCCAGTCCAGAGTTTTGGATTCTGTAGATCTGAGGCGAGGCCTAATAATTGGCATTTCTAACAAGCCCTGACTGATGGTGGTGCGGATGCTGCAGGTCCGGGGACCGCACTTCGAGAACCACTGTCCTTAGAAGCCTGCTGTCAAAAGTGTGATCCATGGACCAGTAATATCAGCCTCACCCAGAGGCTTGTGTGGCATCTTAGGCCGCATCTCACACCGACTCAATCAGAATCTGCATTTTAACATGGTCCCCACATGAGTTGCATCCACTTTAAAGTTTGAGAAGTGCTGTCTTAGGGGAGCCAGAATGAGAACACACCAGGGGTGGAGTTAGATGAAGAATCTCTCTTCTCTCTAAGGAGTCTGAAGGTGCAACAGAGAGGGGCGAAACTGTTAGGACAGGATGTACACCTGGAGGGGGCTGATGACAGCTGAGAGGTGAGACTTGGAAAGGATGGAGGACCCTTCCCCAGGGAAGGTGGAGACGACAGGACATTCTGAGGAAATGAGGTGGGCCTCACAGCAAGGCTTCATCAGGCAGCTGTCACTTTGCCCTTAAGACAGTGGACAGGGTGTTCTCTTGGATGCTTTCAGCGGTAGTGGTAGGGAGAGGGTGGACCGGGACTGAGCCCTTCAGCAGGGAAGACAGTGGCTGTGAGGAATGTGGTGGGTGAACCACCTGGAATAAACAGCTTCTGAGCAGCGGCGAGGGCCGGCGGAGGTGAGAAAGCGTGAGTCTCTAGGCGACTAAACAGGGCCAGTCTTTTGACTTTGCCCTGCAGTGCTCAGCAGTGGAAAAAAACCAACAGCCACGCAGGGACAGGGAAGAGGCCGCAGATGGGCACAGGTCACGGCAGGCCAGGGCTGACTGGTAGATGGACACCATGGAAGGTGCAGGGTGTATGGGAGCAGAGTAGAGCGATAGATTTCACTAGAAGATCTTTGGGCTGTTAATCTTTCAATTTAAAAAGGAGGGGAGTGGGTGGGAGAGGAAGATCCCTCAGAAGGCATAGACTTTCTGTTTCTTCCTTAGTGCCGGTGAAGAGCCAATACTGATGCATTTTATTTCTCAGAGATGTTACAACAAATTTTATTGGTGGTCAGGAGGGTCTAGGTTGCAAGGCGGTGGTGGGTGGGGGGTGCCATGAGCCTCCAGAATTCCCCAGCCTTGGTCCCTGGCCGCACAGCTAAGAAGCGAGGGAAGAGGGGAGGAGGAATCCAAGCCCAGTGCTTACTCCCAGGGCGGCTCCCTGTCTTCTTGGCAGCCCTGCCTCTCCTAAGACCTGCCTTCATTGTCAGGGAAAGCTCCCTGGTGTTGGGAGCCCTTCTCCAGAGAGAAACAGCAAAGCGTAGGTAAGGCCTCTCTGCCTGGTTAACACACTATTCTCCTCTCGTTCCCCCAAGGAACAGTGCAAGGGCTCTGCCATCAAACAGGCCTCTGCTACTTGCTGTGCCAACCCTGGGCTAGTTATCTTCCCTCCCTGGGCCTTTGTTTCCTGTCTGATAAGCTCTGTAAGGGCAAGGACCATCTGTCTTTTTGGCCACTTTGTCTGAATCTAGCACTGTGCAGGGCACAAAGTAAGTTCCCATAGAGGTTTGTGGAATAAAGGATATCGATTCCTCTCTCACCAGCTCCCCACCCTTGCGACCACTTTGCACAAGGTGCTGCCCTTTGACTGGGCTTGCTGGGCTGGTATGAGGATGAGCTGGCTTTATTATGAAATGAACAGAATCCCTGGTCTTCCTGGGAAGAAGGCACTGTACCAGGAAAGAACAAAGGTTTCTTGATTCCCTTCTATGCCAGGTGTTGGGGAGAAGCAAATTTTTTAAAAAATATTTATTTATTTATTTAGGCTGCACCAGGTCTTAGTTGTGGCATGCGGGATCTTTAGTTGTGGCATGCGAACTCTTAGCTGTGGCATGCGGGATCTAGTTCCCTAACCAGGGATCAAACCCAGGCCCCCTGCATTGGGAGCGTGGAGTCTTACCCATCGGACCACCAGGGAAGTCCCGAGACGCAAATTCTTGACAACTGCTTGTCTAGGGAGGGGGTGAGCACGCTACTGCCCCCCACCAAGGCCAGGGTTCCCTCTCCTTCTTTCTCCCTCCTCTTTTTTTTACTTTCTTGGCACCCTCGGTAGAATGGCTGCCAGATGTTATCCATTTGGAAAAGTACAGCTCGATAGATATGAATCAGCTTGGGCAGGTGAAAAATGATTCACTTCCGAGCAAGTTGATTTCGTTAAGGTTGTCCAGTCTGAATCTTTTTCTCCCTTTTAATTAAATGATGATTGGTCTCAGTGGTGAGAAGGAAGAGCCTGAATTTAATGTCTGTGTTTGTGGAAAGCTGGGGACAATGTGGATAAGGGGGAAGTATTCCTGTTGGCAAAGAACTAATGCCGGGGCGGAATGGCAGGGGCACTGGGGATTCTGGCACCTTTGGGGCTGTGCTGTGCAGCCTGGGGACTACGGGCCAGAACTCTGCCTTCACCCTGTTTCTCACCTGAACACCGGTTAATGGTGCCCATTCCTGACCTGTCTCCAGGGAGCGCACTAGGACTGCAGCTTAATTAACTTCCTAGACACAGTTCTTGAATCACTGGGCACAGTGCCTGGCACAGTGAGGGCTGGGGAGAGGTGCCTCATCACTGCTGTCACTCAGATTCAGATGCTGCTGGTGGTGCTGACTTCTCCTGCTGCAAACTCCCCAGATACGTTTCTGCGCTGGACTGGTTTGCCAAATCCCTTACGTTTCCTGTGTCTTGTGGCAGCTTAGCTCCTCAAGCCCCTGGGCAGATGAGCCTGAGAACCCAATCGTCTACCCTCCCTCCCCCAATGACATGCTGTGCCACTGCCTCTTCATGTGGTCACTGGCAGTGACCCAGGAGCTCCCATGTAGGCCAGGGCTGCACTTGGTATAGTGATAGCTGTGACCCACTGAATGTCCACCAGGTGCCCGGCACTGTATCTCATTTGGTTTTCTCAGTGACCCTCTGAAATGATTGGTAATGTCCCCATTTTACTGATGAGAAAATGGAGGCTCAGAGGTGCCCAAGGTCATAGCTATGAGTTAAGTGGCCAGAGTTAGGATCCAAGCACAGGCCTGACATTGAAGCCCATGCTCCTTCTAGTAAACAACAGTGCCTCCTCTGGTAAAAGGGCCTAGTCAGCAACAGAGGCACTAGGCCGTCCCCTTGGTGGGCCTTTGTTAGGTGCCGAGGGCTCTATACACACTGTGGGGCTGAGACAGTCCTCCTCTCTCGCCAGGGTCTCTGTGCCTTCCCCACATTCATGACGGCACTATATGCTAATAAGGCAGAGAATAAACCCAGGCAAATGAGGTGGACTGCTAGTCCTAGGGGTTAGAGTTCCAGGAGGGATAAATACAAGTGGTTCTCTGCAGAAGTATAAATAAGGAAGACTTTACACAGGAGTAGAGTGAGACACATTTTGGGGCTAAGTAAGGCAGCAACGGAGTGGATTCCTCCATATTCACTTCTGTGTGCCACAGGCCCTTTACTCCTGGCAACTCCAGCTCAAGGAGGAAGGGAAGCCCCATTCAAAGCCCTGGACACTCCCTGAGGGTCAGTTTTTGGTTCAAGAAGGCCTTTACCTTGTGCCATCTTTCTGCCAAGTTAAACCAAAAGGAGACCCTCAGGTATGAGTGCCCTGGGCCTTACTTCAGTTCTTCAGCGGGTATCCTTCCTTTCTTTTTTTTTTTAAATTTATTTATTTTTTGTTGCTGAGCACGGGCTTTCTCTAGTTGTGGCGAGTGGGGGCTACTTTTCGTTGCGGTGCGCGGGCTTCTCATTGTGGTGGCTTCTCTTGTTGCAGAGCACGGGCTCTAGGCACGTGGGCTTCAGTAGTTGTGACATGCGGGCTCGGTAGTTGTGGCTCACGGGCTCTAGAGCACAGGCTCAGTAGTTGTGGCGCACGGGCTTAGTTGCTCTGCGGCATGTGGGATCTTCCTAGACCAGGGCTCGAACCCGTGTCCCCTGCATTGGCAGGTGGATTCTTCACCACTGCGCCACCAGGGAAGCCCCCTTCCTAACTTTCTTGCTCACTTCCTTTCCCCAGGTGTTGACTTTAAGATGAAGACCATAGAGGTAGATGGCATCAAAGTACGGATACAGATTTGGTGAGTTGGGTAGGAGGAGAGGACCTGGGGCTCTCCCTAGCTGCCACTGCCATGTGTAAAATCCAGAGGCTTCATCTGGAGTAACTGGCCACCTTTTCGATGGGGAGAAGCAGAAGTCTCAAAGCCCATCTCCTGCTCCCATGAGCCTTAATCTCTCATCTCTGCGGCTCCCAAGATCTTAGTTCCCCGACCAGGGATTAAATCCAGCCCCTTGGCAGTGAAAGCGTGGAGTCCTAACCACTGAACCACCAGGGAGTTCCCTCTCATCTCTTTCTTAAGAAACTTATGGGACTGACCGCAAGTCACCAAAAAGCAAGAATTAGAAGGAATTGGCAAACTAAGCACTGCGGGTTTGTCTTCGAATAAAGCTTTTCCCTTGGGCCGTGCTGCCCTGCATAGCACTGAGGTAGGATTCCAAGCAGGGAGGGCTACGCCCCATCCTTACGGTGGGAGTTCCTGGTCTGAGTTCCTCACTACAGCACAGTGCAGTTCCCATAAGTAGCCACAGGGGGCCGCTATAGCTCTCTGGCCTGTTGCTCCTGGAAGCATTGCCTTTCCAGCATTTGGAGCGGCCTCCCAATTTCAGAGTGGTATGGGCATTGCCTGCAGAGGTCCCAGACGGACTGGAGATGGAGTAGTCCCACGAGTCTGGCCACAATGGCCAAATCCTAGAGAAAGTTATCCAAGACCCAGTTATGGTTGTTGCTCCTAGTGCAGATACAGTTGACAAGGACCCACAAGCCCTGTCAGCACCTATGACCAGCCCTCTCTGATGCAGAGTCAGATACGTTTGGATCCCCTTGGGGACCAAAGCTCCACTGATTTTTCACCCTGCAGCTCTCCAGTTTCTCCTGCAAAGGCACAGGGTCTCCCAGGTCCCGTTCCTCCCCTCCCCACCTGCTTCCATGGTCCCCGCTCTTTTGAAGGGCTGGCTTTCTATTGCAGGGACACAGCGGGGCAGGAGAGATATCAGACCATCACAAAGCAGTACTATCGACGGGCCCAGGTGAGCCGCTATTTTCAGGGTTTAGAGGTGGGATGCTGCCACCCACACTCCTGGCTCTGGGCGTTTGAGATATTTGTGCCACTGATCCCCAAATGGGCCCTCGGATTGCCTGCTGGGGAGTGAGGGGGTTGGGCTCAGGGCGGTTCACTGATCATTCATTCATCAGCTACTCTCTGAGCACTCACTACTGGCGGGCCCCCACCCTCACCCTCAACTTCCACCCTCCTCCCTGGGCCAAAGACCACATCAAAGTATTGGTGCCTTTCTGCCTCAGAGAGCTCTGTGATGAGCCAAGGAAGCGACAGCTTTGGGGTCTGAGAGAGAAGGAGACTTTTCTGGGTGCTGAGGGATCTTCATTATGCTAAGCGGGGAGAAGGGAGATTGGGACCCAGCATTTAAGGTACCACACCCGATTCTGACCCCATGACTATGCACTGTCTCTGTGTGCATGTACCTGCCCCATCTCTCTCTCCTTCTCTCTCTCAGGGTATATTTTTAGTCTACGACATTAGCAGCGAGCGCTCTTACCAGCACATCATGAAGTGGGTCAGTGATGTGGATGAGGTAGGATGTGCTGCCTCACTCTTGGGGGTGGGGAAGGGCACCTCAGAGGGGAAAGCAAAGTGAAGGCCACATGGGAAGGGCTGAAGCTGTCAGGGTTGGCAAGCAAACACTACCAGGAACCCTTGCCTTCTGCAGCCCCGGATCAAGACCTCTGGGTGAGTAAGACATGAGGAAGAAACCCAAGCAGCCATGCCCTCCATGCTCTATAACCTGCCAGGCCTCCATGGCTGTGTCTTCCCCTAAAATGAGTTAGAACAGAGCCTACGCTGTGAACAGCTTCCTTCCTGAATTGTCAGGACCAGGTGGAATTGCGAGACTGGAGTTCCAGTCCTGGCTCTGCCACCACAGTTGTGGAGACCTGGGCAAGCCATTTGAACTCTGAGTCCCCACTTCTTCATCTGTAGAATAAGGGGCTGGACTTAAGTCCAGTGTCCTTTCCAGTTGTCCAGCCCGAGGAAGCATCAGTGTCTTCTACCCTGTGACATCCCTCTGGGACCCCTGGGATCAGCCATGGTACTTGGGGACGCCTGGCACCTGCACCCGGTCAGCCCACTCTGTCCCTAGGGCTCTTAACTTTGCTGCTGGTGTGGAAGCCAGTGTAGGCTGTGTGGGTGGGGAGATTGGGGGAAAGCAGGACTCACTGGCAGTTCTGTCTGTCCTTTGTCCCTAGTATGCACCAGAAGGTGTCCAGAAGATCCTTATAGGGAATAAGGCTGATGAAGAGCAGAAACGGCAGGTGGGAAGAGAGCAAGGGCAGCAGGTAAGTGCGAGTGAGCTGGCTGAATCCATCCCTTGGGTTTTTGGCTGGCTTCCTGGGCCAGACCTGAGAACTGGGACCCAGGGTTCTATCACCATCATCAGACACCCCGCTACCTCCACAGTAGCCTAAGGCACTGGCTGAATTGCCGTCCTTGAGAGTTTGTTTTCTGTCCTTTAGGACAGCGATTTGGGGTCCATCCTGAAACAAAGACCTCTCCCAACTCCAAGGCGCCCAAAGCAGGATTACCTCTGCCTAAGAGCCCACCCTGGTTAGTGCGGAGGAGGGACCTCAAGTGGCTCCCTTCTCCTCTAGCAGCATCTAGGCATAGCTTCTGTCCTACAGTCATCTCACCCCTCCACACCCACTCCCTGTCCTCCTTACAGTTGAAAAGAGGTAGGAAGGGAAATGAAGGCATGAAGGGCCCACATTCAGAGAAGCCATGGTGGCAGAGAGGGTAGAAGGATGGTTTTGAGGGAATATCCAATCACACAGGGAGACCATCCTCCCAGAGAACAGAAAGAAAGATGGGTACCACGGAGGCCAGAGTCACCCACTTACTCTGAGGGCCTCAAGAGTTTTTCTCTCCCTCTTCAGTCAATAGCGTCCCATTAGCACTTGAAATAAAATTGTTTTTTAGTATAAAAAATAATACATGGTCATTGAAAATTTTGAAAATAGAGGCCAATTCCTACTAGAATATTCGTATTTGTTGATTACTGTACGTGTGGCCCTGTGCTAAGCAAGTGCTTACAGATGCATGACCCCATTTAACTCTTCCACAGCCTTGGTTGATAGACGCTCTCATCCCCTTTGAACAGAATGCGAAGTTGGGGCTTAGAGGGAAGAGGTAACTTGTCTAAGGTCATACGCTCTTAAGTGACAGCACTGGTATTCCAGCTGGGTCTGTTTGACCTCAAAGCCCATGTTTTTCATTAGTTTGTCCCAATAATTTTGTGTCTCTGTCTCCTAACATGTGATGTGTGTGTGTTGGGTGTATATGTGTGCCTGTGTGTAGGTGGGGTGCATTTGTGGAGCATCTTCTCCCATTCTCTGCTAGCCTGTGTCTTAGGAAGTCCTAGTCTCATCTGAGAAATTATCTACTCTGAGAAACTATCGCGACACAGCGCGGGCCCTGAGTGCAGTGGCAGGAAGGATGCACCAGGTGCTGCGGGCACCTCCCTTCCCTGAGCAACGCCCTTTCGGGAATGTTCTTCTCTTGCAGCTGGCTAAAGAGTACGGCATGGACTTCTATGAAACAAGTGCCTGCACCAACCTCAACATTAAAGAGGTGAGTCCCGTCTCTTGAGCTGAGTCCAGCGAGGCGGGAAGGCGAGAGGACGGGGCAGCAGAGTGGCTGAGAGCAGATGAGCCCCACCCAGGGCGGGCAGCCACAGGGGTGCCGGGAAGAGGGGAGACCTGGACTTACTGTGTTCCTTGCCCTCCCAGTCCTTCACGCGCCTGACCGAGCTGGTGCTGCAGGCCCACAGGAAGGAGCTGGAAGGTCTGCGGACACCCGCCAGCAATGAGTTGGCCCTGGCGGAGATGGAGGAGGATGAGGGCAAACCTGAGGGCCCGGAGAACTCTTCAAAAACCTGCTGGTGCTGAGCATCTTGCGTGGAGCGCCCCGCACAGTCCTCTCTCCCCGCAGGAGGGCTGCGGGCACACAGGGAGCCTGGGCTTTGCCCTGCTTCTCTTCTCCTTCGGGTGACCCTGTGGAATCTCGGCCACTGCTCCTCCCCCTGCCTGGCTCCGGGGAGCAGCTCCTCTGTCCTGTCCGAGCAGCCTCGCCCCCCTCCCCCCACCCTCCCCCCGGGATGGCCCCCTCCAGCCTGTTTCCCCAGCCACAGGCCTGCTTCAAGCCCCTGATGTGCTATGAGCACTGCCTCACTACCCTGAGGTCCCAGACGATGGCCCAGTCTGGAGTCAAGGCCACTGGAGGTTCCTTCTCTCTCAGTGCATCTGGTCTCCTCTCCGCTTCTCCTCGCTTCTTCCCACCTTTCTGTCCCTTCCCCTCAGCTGTGTTCCTATCAAAGCCCTCCCCCCGCCCCCCCACGTGTCCTGTGTGGCTGCTGGTACAGCACCTTTCAATTCCTCCCTCTTTGCCGGGCCGAGGGAGTGGACTCAGGCTCAGGGGCACGTTCCCTGCTCTGCTCTGGGAGAAGCCCCACCCCGCTTTGTGGGAAATTCTTCCCGTCCTCTCCTCCCCGCCGCCCCTTCATGTGCCATGGGCCTGCCTCCCCGGTGACTGGGGAAAGAGGAACGGCAAGAGAGGAAGGAAAGCCCAAACTGGTGGTCCCCACGCCTGGGGTTGTCCTACACCCCACCCCCACCCCGCCCCATCCCCAGCTTCCGCTGCACTTGGCTGCCTGCCCTCCTGCCTCTTGGGGGAACTGAGTTTCAGAGAAGAAAAAAAATGATGAGGGGTGGCAGGGATAAGAAGTAACCTCAACCTCTCTACCTGCCCTGCAGTACATACACTATTTCTCCCTGACCCGGGCTCCCGAATTTAAAGATGTGGACCAAGGCCTGAGGGCACTGCAGGGGCATGGAGAGCCCTGGGGCCAACCACACACTCCAGGAAGGGGAGGTGTTTGGAAATGAAGGACCAGCTCCTAAGTATCAAGTTAAGAGCCAGGACAGCAGTTTGCAAAGCAGAGGGGAATTCGGCAGCAGCAGAGATTCCTGGGCCCCATCTTCCATTTCTTATGTAAGAAGGGCACTTCCCCACCGCCCCGGCAGGTGAGAGGTGACAGAACCACGCTGGTGTTCTTTCACCGAGCCCAGCCTTCCGCTCTCAAGGCTTTCCTGAGACCCAGAGTTTGTGGGAGAAGGGCAGGGGGCTCACGGGCAGAAAGCAGGCGAGCCCTGGGTAGGAATGCTTGGTGCTGTTCCCTTCAGCCTTCAAGACCAAGTGCTCATCTTGTTCCTCAGCTCCTGAGTCAGAGGCCTGAGGGTTTGCCAACTGCACTGTGGCTACAGGTGGAGGGAAGCGGACTCCCTCCTCCAGGGCCCTTTGTTTCAGGAAGAAGTTTCTTTAACCCCATATGGTCCAAGAGTCGTTTGCAGGAGGCCCTTTAAGGAGGGAACAAGTCAGTTACCAGCCCTAGTAGGGTTCCTCCCCACCTTCCCAAGATGGGAGAAGCCTAGGGAGGAGGATCAGTCTTAAGCTGCGTTGCATGGCTGGCGCTGGAGTGAAAACAAAACTGGGCATCGAACATTCACTAATTAAAGACTAAAATCCAGGACACACACATGTGAAGGGTTAAGAGCCCCACTTCCTTACTCCTCTGAAAAAATGGGTGGGGTTGAAATTGCCAAACCTTTCCTCTGACTCTTATCAAATCAGGAGAGGGCAGGAGAGGGTAGCTCAGGATGAGGGAATGGGGGATGGGTTATTGTAGTGGAAGGAAAAGGAAGGCAGGAATAGTTATAAATCGTCAGCTAATGAGAAATGTAAAGAGCTGCCTCTTTAGGACGAAGTCATGACCACAGCTGAGGATGTTTCCTTGAGAACTAACTCCTCAGCTGTTAAAACATGCAGCATCACTCTGGGGTGGGGAGGTCAGCAGTGCCAACCCGCGGTGTGCCCTCAGCCAGGGGCTTGGGGGAGGGGAAGTTATACTGGCCACTGGCTCCAACCTGTGGTCACTGTTGCTGCTTTCCCTGAAGATCTGGCCGAGTACCATTGCCTTTCTCTCCTAGCCCCCCTGGGGAAGAGGGACTATATTTTTACTGTACCCTAGGGGTTCTGGAAGGGAAAACTTGGGGTTAGGATTCTATGGCCTGAGAAGCCCCATCCGTAAGGGCCACAGCTGGGGAGAGGTATGGGGCAGGAGAGGGGTTGGGATTTTAGGGTGCAGCTATGCTCATGAGGTACCAGAGTCAGCCTCTCACCCCTAAACTTCTCCAGTCCCGGACGCAGCCTGGGACCTGGCCTTAGACTGTTGAGCAGGTGCGCCTGCCTGTTGGCTCCACCTTTGCACCTGTTGTCTTGAGGTTCGGCACAGCCCCAGGCTCTCCACCTGCTCCTGAGCCCCAGCAGTTCCCTGTGACGGGTAAACTTCGTGTGCTGTGTCTCGGGTCCAGGATATGAATTGTGAGCAGGGTTCATCTATTTTAAACACAGATGTTTACAAAATAAAGAATATTTCAAGTCACAGCTGTGACTGCCTGTGTGAATCCCCGGGAGTAGATCTCACTGGGACCCTGGCAGTTCAGGGGGAGGGAGAGAGGCAGTGCTGGTAGAAGAGGTTCCAGAATCCTAAAGCAACAGCAGAAGAATGAATGGAAACAGCAAACGTCTTCCGTTTGGTGCCTTTCCTAATGCCACCTGCAGGGGAGCCCCAAACAAAGCCCCCATTGCTCGGCAGTGGGCTCCAATTGCGGAAATAAGATTGAGTAGAGTCACTGGGGACATGCTGAATATCTATGTCTGAGGGTGTCTTTAAAACCAAGAGGTGGGGGGCTTCCCTGGTGGTGCAGTGGTTGAGAATCTGCCTGCCAATGCAGGGGACACGGGTTCGAGCCCTGGTCTGGGAAGATCCCACATGCCGTGGAGCAACTAAGCCCGTAAGCCACAACTACTGAGCCTGCGCGTCTGGAGCCTGTGCTCCGCAAAAAGAGAGGCCGTGATAGTGAGAGGCCCACGCGCCACGATGAAGAGTGGCCCCCGCTTGCCACAACTAGAGAAAGCCCTTGCACAGAAACGAAGACCCAACACAGCCAAAAATAAAAAAATAAATTAATTAATTAAAAAAAAGAAAACAACCCAAGAGGGTTCTCATCTGCTTGGAATGTAACAGAAACAGGTCTTCCTGAAGGCATGAGGTGGGATTAAGTAATCTTTCAGAAGTTCATCCTAGCCCTGTGCTTGGATACCCCAAGGGAACAAGGCAGTCTAGAATCTTGGGGTCTGGGGACTGATGAATACTATACTCTGGGGTCCAGAGTTGATGGAAGAGGCAGAGAATGTTTGGAGGTAAAGATAAAATGAAGAAGGAAGGAGTAAAACAAGGCAGGGCAACAGTAGCCTAAGATCTTAACCTGCATTTTCCAATTTACAGAGAACTTGTAATGCTTTATCTCCTTTATCGGAACAATCAGACAATCACGTCTGTGTGAGATAAGGAAGGTGATTATCTTTATCCAAGTTCAACAGATAAGGAAACAGGTGCCTAGGGGCCCCAAGGAAGAGTGGCAGAGTCAAGGCTTAAAAGGAACAACCGGAATTGAAATCTCCAAAGGGGAAAGCTTGGCACCTCTATTTAGAAAAATCGCTACATGCAGTTCTCATTTGCAGCCAGAATTGAGAACCATCGACCTAGGCTTTCTGCCTACTAAGCCAGTGAAGTTTCCAGAACATCTACTGTCCCTGTGGAAAGCCATGTTAGTGCATGTCCAGAGTTACAAGCTTCTGGAAAGTAGGCCAGTTTGAGGTACATCTGGAAACAAAGAGGTATTTTAGGAGAGCTTCATCAATTGTATTCAATCGTGAAAGGTGAGAACCTGGGCAACTCAAGGTGTCCTAGGTTGCCCCTGAAGAAAAGGGATGTCGTGTACCTAAGGAAGACAGCACCTCCACTCCTCAGTTCAGCAACTTCCATGGTCTTCCTGGAGAGGGGTCCCAGAAGGGCAGCCAGTAAGAGGCATCTGGAAGCCCAGAGAGTACTAGGGAAGTGCTAGGCATGCAGGTGAATCTGGCAAGTTCATGTTGAGAGTTTAGCCCATTATCAGGGCGAAGTTCTTGACTCAGTGGCTTAGGAGGCGTTTATTTGCTTTTTCTAGCAACTCCACCCAGCCTCAGCAGGGGACACACTTCCCTCTGCATTTCCTGCCACCTCTTCTAGTGGCAAAAGATTCCATTCCCACTTAGGTAATGGAGGCTTTTTTGTAGGGAGCAGCCAGTTAAGATGTATGGATTCCCGTGTTGCATTAAACAGCCATGAACAGGCTACAGAACAGAACACCTGGGTACTTCCTGGAAAGTACTTCCTCCATCTTCTCAACAAATCAGATTCTCAAGACCAGCTGCTCCCCAACCTGGCTTATTCTTTGTTCTAGGAGACAGTTCCCAATGGACACATACCTGTGAAAACACTCTCTAGTAAACAACAGCATTGTTATTGAAATTTCGCTCTAAAATCCCAAAGCCAGGTAAAGCCTAATTGCCAGCTTTAATGATGGAGAAATCCAGGCATTAAAAACAAAAAACAAAATAACAAACCCCGATTTCTTGCATTGATGGGTGTTTGGAAGAATGAAGTGAAGCATTAGGTCTTTTTAGTTTCTGTGGGCTTCCAGTGCTGTGCTCCCATGATAGCTCTTAGCATGTCCCCCAATGTCCTGCAACACATTGCATGCTGGTGTTGAAAACATCGTGAGCGGCCTAGCTGGGTCTAGAACCATAGCAGCTTCGACTGCCTGCACACTTCCTTCTGTGGGGAATGACCAGCACAAGCCCCTCTGAGAAGTCTTTGGGACTGTCTTTGTCTGATAAGAGGTAGGGGCATCCATCCCCTCTGAGTTTACCCACCTGCTCTGTGACTCCTCTGTTATCCCAGCCACAACCAACTGCAGCCTCATGACCCTGTGGAGGTGGGGTGTGGGGTATTAGAGGAGATGGTACAGCGCAGGGGGCAAGGGCAGATGTGCTCTCCAGGACAAGTACCATCACTCACTGAGAGACTTTTCAAGACAAACACAGCTTCCCCTCTTCAGACTGGTGCAAGCTGAGGCACTGAAAGCCATTATTTTAGAAAACCACACACCGTCTTCCTAATGGTCCCTTTGATTTTGTGCTTGTGGAAAGTAACAGCCAAAGAGAGAAATGTGAACAGTAACATGTATATTCCATTTGTAGTATGAGTAAAGGGGACATGAGCCCAGTCCTCTTCCTCATCCTTCAGCCCTCGGCAGACCCTGACCTCTCAATTGCACAATTCAGAGCTCGGCACTCAGCAGGCGCTCAGTAACTGTCTGTGCCAAGTGAAAACAATATGCTGGGGCAAGTAGGAGTCAATCTTGCATCCCTCCCTGCCTTTTTTCCTCCCCGTCCAACCTTTGGGGCTCTGGTTTCCTGCAAGCGGTGAATTATTCATGTCTGCTCAGAGATATCACATTGGCCCTTCCTAGGTTGCCAACAGGGTGGAGCAGGGAGGTGGCTTTGTTCAGAGTCTGTAAATAGGAGGAGCGACCTTCCTGTTCAAACAGCACTTAACGGGTAGGTGACTTTTTGCTAAGTCATCCTGGGGATGCTCAAAGTCCCATTGTGAGATCCTTCCTGGCTCCTCCTTCCTCCCCACCCCTTTAATAGACCCTTAAGTGGGGTCACACTGCTCTGCCACTCACTCTGCACTCGCACCATGGCTTACGTTGCCAAGTCCTTCTACGACCTCAGTGCTATCAGCCTAGATGGGGAGAAGGTAGATTTCAATACATTCCGAGGCAGGGCAGTGCTGATTGAGAACGTGGCCTCGCTCTGAGGCACAACCACCCGGGACTTCACCCAACTCAACGAGCTGCAATGCCGCTTTCCCAGGCGCCTGGTGGTTCTTGGCTTCCCTTGCAACCAATTTGGACATCAGGTGAGACGTCCCTGGTATTGTACCCAAGGAGTTGGGTTGCTGCAGCTCCAGTGGGCTAAAGAGAGGGGGAGGACGACTATGTGTGTTGAGTGTCTTGAATCATGGGGTATGTTTTGTTAATCTAGGTCTTTAGGTGCATGCGAGTACCAGGGGGAAGTCAGTATGATTTTGTCTGTGATAGAACACCAAACGTATGGATTTTTATGGTTTCTTGTCTTCCCACTACACTCCACGAGGGCTGGTACCAGGTCTGTTTTTCTCTCCATTGTGTCCTCCGTGCCTGGGTATAGAAGGCACTCATTAAATGTTTGTTGAATGAATGACTGGAGGAAATAGAAGATCAAGAATCAAACTAGGATTGAACTGACTCAGGAGACCTTCATTTTCACTACATTTGATTCTGCTAATAGCTCTGTGCCCCAAGAAGAGTCACTCAATTTTTCTGTTTTGGTTTCCTCTTCTATAAACTAGGGATAATACCACTTACCTGATAGTATTATTGTGAGGTTGTGGGGATAAGAGCTACAAAAGTAACTTGAAAGGTATAGAGTAATATGCAAATGTAAGCAACTTTACTATTTAGATTGAAAGGTTTTGTTTGTTTGTTTAAAATCAGCCAAATGGAGAGTGAATTTGGGGGAAGGTAAAAGGGTTTGCAAAGTGTACGTGTCTCCTTTGGGCATCACGCGTGCCTCTCTGTCCCTGATAATGGGTCAAGTTGTTATAGATCTTCAGCCCGCACACCTCAAGTTATCTTTTAGGGGTTCTTATATTTTCACTTAGGATTTTTTTTTTTCTTTTTTTTTTTTTTTTCCGGTACGCTGGCCTCTCACTGTTGTGGCCTCTTCCGCTACGGAGCACAGGCTCCGGACGCGCAGGCCCAGCAGCCATGGCTCACGGGCCCAGCCGCTCCGCGGCATGTGGGATCCTCCCGGACCGGGGCACGAACCTGTGTCCCCTGCATCGGCAGGCGGACTCTCAACCACTGCGCCACCAGGGAAGCCCTCACTTAGGATTTTAATAGCACAAGCAGGCAGAATGTCCTCCAATTATAATCCCTTGGGTTCAATTCACAGTGGCATGAAGGCAAGGAAGAGATTATCAGAGATATAGGCAGGAAGGCTGAAATGTCATTGGCTGTGACAAACCTGAGCCCAAACCATGAGTGCTCTCACTGTTCCTTCCTTGCCTCAGTTCTGTTTCTAGGCTTGGCCAGGGAAAGAGAGACAGAAAAGGTAAAACCTCTTCAGAGGGGTCTCTCTGGCCCTAGAGATGCCTCCTTCCATCACTTCAGGCCAGCCAGTTGCTGGAGGGAATGCGTAAGCTACCAGTAGCCAGCAGGCCTTTTGCATTAGGAGATAAGATGTCTAATAGCCATCAACTCTGGGCTCAAGATGTCATGATGGCCTGGAACTGACTGTACTAATTGGTTCTAGTAGGTCAGAGGCAGGAACTTCTTGCCCTGAGGGAGATATATGACTCTTAGACTTGGCGGATGGGGGTGGAAAATAAGGGTTTCTATGGGTCTTTGTGGGCTGTCAGGGGTGGGGAATGCTAAGTGGGGATAGGACAGT